CCCCCCCCCCCCCCTTAGCAGGTGGTGAACCTTCTGGGGGGGGTAGGGACCCCCCCCCCCCCCCCCTAGCATGTGGTGAAGCCTCTGCGGGGGTCGGGACCCCCCCCCTAGCATGTGGTGGGCACCCCCCAGCGGTTCGTGGGCTAGGAACTGAGGGAGGGTGTAGAGGATGTAGAGTGTAGAGCGCTGTAGAGCTGTAGAGATGTAGAGCGCTCTGGAGCGCTGTAGAGCTGTAGAGCTCTACATCCGCCGCGTGACGAGGCGCCTCCGTTGTAGAGCGATGTAGAGCGCGATTTTGTTGTAGAGTTTGTTGTAGAGGCTCTACAGCCAAACCGCCGGGAAGGCAGTGACTCAAAGAGGTCGAGCCGCGCTAATGGGGTGTCTCCGAGCTTACTGGAGCTCTGATGGACAGCCCTGACTATCCCTGACACACAGAGAGTCACTCCGACGGCACACAACACCCTATAACTGCGTCATGGCCAGCCTGCCATGTGTCGCCGGTGCCGCATTCGTCGCTGTGCTTCTTTAGCAGGCGGTGGACTGTCGGCTGCGAGGACGGTCGCATTTGCGCGAGGCGAGGCGAGCATTGCTGCGCGTTGCATGCGCCATGACTCGCGCCAGCGCTTGCGGGAGCTCCTGGCTGAGCGTTGAGTCCAGGCGAGTTGCGCTGGCCACTATCGCTACGCCGAGCCGAGCTGACGCGCCGAGGCGCCGGCCAGTCGCAGCCGCGAGGCATGCCATAGCAGCAGAGGCAGCCACCTCCTACCCATTGGGCGGGCAGACAGAAGGCCAGGGCAGCACTGGCAAGTGCAACGCGCCTCATGTCGGAGAGCGACCGTGCCTCGTTCGCCGCTTATGATGTACGTACTTTTAGCTTACTGGGAGAAAAGAGAGAGGGGGTTGTGTTCTGTAGAGTTTGTTGTAGAGATTTCACGTTGTAGAGCGCCTCTACATCGCTCTACAACGGAGGCGCCTCGTCACGCGGCGGATGTAGAGCTCTACAGCTCTACAGCGCTCCAGAGCGCTCTACATCTCTCTCTACATCTCTACAGCGCTCTACACTCTACATCCTCTACACCCTCCCTCAGGCTAGGAATAGCCGCCAGAGAGCCTATTTTGCCCCCAAAGTTGTGAAATCGTGGCTAATAAATAAATAAATACAACGGACACGCCAAACGAGGGGTGGGAGAAGGATCGTGGCTAAAAGTCCAATATCATAGAGGTTACGTTTTTTTTTTTGATGTGGTCTATTGCTCACGGAACCCGCCGCCCCCTCACCACCCCTACCATGCGATGCCCCCTCGGCCTCGCACCGCCTGCCTACTCCCGCTCGCAGGTACAGCCGCTGCCATGGAGGAGGCCGCGAGACGCGTCCGCTGCTGCATCATGTTCTTCCTGCTCGCCCTCGCGGGCGCCCACGCCGCAGCAAAGGGGCAATTTCCCGAGTGGCGCTTTCAGGGACGTGATGTGGTGGTGAAGATCCCAAGAGATTCGGTGCGCCCTTCAACTCAGCTCAAGTAGACTCAGACACTCCGTGTGATCTCACATACACCATTCGTGTGCTGAACAGTTCCACGAGCCTCAATCGGCCGCGTGCGAAGCCGCTGCCGCTGCTGCCGCCGCTAAGAACTCCTCTCCCGCACCGGTCCTCATCATCGACGCGCCATCGTGGTTTTGCACGTCCGATTCTGTCGGCAATCATTTGCCACTATACTTCACCCTTCGAGCCTTGGCCTTGCTGCATGGCATCGGATTCCAGATGCAGCCGACGTGTGGCCCTATCATCCGGGACACGCCCAAATACATCACCGGTTGGTTGCCTCAAAGTGCTTCTCCGAACTGGCCGCCCGAGGTCCCTCGTGACCCCGGCACGATCATGCGGGAAATAGAAGGAACCTGCAAATGTCGCACGATCATCACGCATGCTTGCACTTACGGTTGGCCGTTATTTGCCGCCGTTTGGGGTCGCGAGATCCGAGCCGCAGCCGAGCGCTATTCGGTTGCATCTAAGGGGGTGTTGGCAAGCAACGGCTCAAAGACGCAGAAGTACACGTATGACCTCGATGATGCCGTCATCCACTTTCGCTGTGGGGACATTATGGAAATGGATGCGTCACGGGGCCCGCTCAATTCTGGGTTTGTGCCATTGAGTGTGCTTCTTCGCTACCTGCGCCCACTTGCCCCGCGTTCGGTGGGCATTGTCACAACACCGCTCGTTGAGAAGTGCAGCAGCAAACTCGAGACCCGAGCCATGGACTGCAAGCACGGCAAGCAGTGCCACGACATCCTTGAAGTGCTCCTCCCCGCACTCCAAAGCGGGCTGACCGGCCCGAGGAAGATGCACGGCCCAAGGGTCAGAATCCATGACAAGGACACGACGGTGGGGGCGATGTCGCGCATCGCCCTCGCTCAACTCTCCATCTGCCCACCTAGCACCTTTTGTGTATGGCCGGCTCTTGGGGCAGTGGAGGGGGTGCTCACTGGCGTTGGGGGTGGGCACAGTATTGCACTTGAGCCAGGCAAGCGGGCCGCCGCTGCACTTGGAGAAGGGCATCTGCATGTGCACGCACTCCACGGTTCAAACGCCAGTATATTGTCAATCAAGCGCATCAAAGAGGCACAAATGTCGCCACAGCAAATTGGACAATTCCTGGTTGAGCACTAGTAGTATGTTGTTGACACGGTGGCGGTGGCTCTACCCGGCTCCGGAGCATCGTGAGGTCAGCTTGCGCCTCGTTCTAACAGGCATGGGAGCCGTGCCTTGCGATGCGGGACCGCTCCGGCGGTGGTGGCAGCTCCTCCGCCGCCGCATCGCGGTGGCGCGCCTCGTGCGGCGGCGCCCCGCCGAGCCGCAGCAAATAGTGCCACTTTCGTAGAATAGTGCTTGCGTGTTGGCTGTTGCGTCGTTAAGTGGCGAGACCTCGGCACCTCGCGCGAGCGTGCGCGCGCCGCAGGAGAGCGGTGGCCGGTGGGGGCCGGATACTCTTACATGCTATGTAGACTCTTCGTGTTTCTAGGGTACCGAGGCTCACACGCCCCCCTTGGCGCCTGCTGTTTCCTGCCAAAACCAGCGAGATCTCGGCCCGCCGTTCTCCGCTCGCGCCGGCCGCCCCCATCCATGCGCTCGCGGGGCTGCCCGAACGGGGCTGGGTTTTCCCGAGGCGGGGTCCGGCGCCGAGCTTTTAGACCTAACCAGAGAGGGTCTGGGCAGTGAAGGTAGTCTCCCCCCATCCCCAGGGCCTCCAGGGGTCACCCACTTGTGTCTGTGTGTCGCTCGTGGGTGCCGTCATCATCTGTCCAGCGTCCACCCATACCGCGTTGGTGTCCAGTCCGAGCCTGGCTGTTCTTCACCATACTACATACATACATACCCACTTGGGGGCGGCCCCTCACACGACTGCCCAGCGCCTCGAGCAGCACAGTGGCGTCACATGTGCGGAGATATGGGGAGATACGGGGAGATATGGGGCGATGTTGGGTACGTCTCTTTCTTCTACGGCTCCTACACAGCGCCCTCGTTGCCCACCTAGTGGCAAGTTAAACACAGTCTGTCGTTTCCCCCAACCACCCAATGTCTCGGTTGTACCGCTCGAAGTCGTGCGCAGCTCTGCGCCGCGTAGTTGGTCTTTGTCGGCGGCGACAGGCAGGCACCTTTTTGCCGTCCTTATTTTCTGCTCAATAAGTCTCGGGGGACGAAGGGGTCACACCCGACGACCTCGGGAACTAGCCGGGGCAGTCGGAGAAGTGGCAACTCCGTGCACTGACGGTCGGCCGCCAGAAAACACGCCTCCGTGGCTCGGGTTACACCAATCCTCGCTACCCAACGCGGCCAAAGGATATCCACCTCGAGAACCTCGAGAAGGCCTGTGAACACAACACCTTGCAGCCTCGAGTCGGCGTCTATCTACTCGTTTGGTATGTGAAACAGGATCAATGGTCGTCAGCGGAGCTTGGCGAGAGGCTGACCTAGCAAACGGGAGTCATCCGCCCGCCACCGCGCTCGACGCCGCTCGCACGCGCTCCCTCTTCCGCCTGATCCACCTGCCAAAGACGGGCGGCACGAGCGTGGAGACCCTGCTCTCGCTCGGCCACCAGCCGCACCGCCGGCTATCCAAGCTCGCCTGGTGGTGTGGAGCGCTGGACGCCTCGCCATCGATACGCGCCGCCGGCTGCAGCAGCGGCGTCGGCCGCTCCTCATCGCCGTTCCTGCTCCCGCACGGTGCAGGCCGTCCGGCCACCCCGCTGCTGGTGGTGCTCCTCCGCCACCCGACCGAGCGGGTGCTCTCGCAGTACTACTTTTTCCGCGGCTGGCACACCCACGTCGGCTTGCTCTGTGACCGCCACCCGCCTCGCGACACACTCTGCGCCGCGCCGGAGGCGCGAGTGCGCTGTGGCCAACCTCAGACGGAGAAATCGAGCGTGGACGCATTGCCTAAGCGTATCGATGGGCGCAGGCGGTCGTCTCTCTCGGAGACGTCGCGCGCGCGCAGGCGGAGAGCCTCAGCGGCGAGGAGAGGCTGCGTCGCGAGGCGGCCGCCGAGACGTGGCGCAACGAACTCCCGGGCAGGGCGGCGGCGCGGCGGCAGGCGGCGGCCGCCGCGGCCGCGGAGGCTGCGGGGGACGGAGGCTTCGGGACGGCGCTTCTTCTTCCCGCCCGGCTCGCCGCGCTGTCCTCCCTGGTTGGCGGTGGCCCTCCTCCCCGAGACAGCTGAATGGCATGCACGCACACTGATAGGCCTGCTGGGCGCGTCGCTGCGTCCCGCGTGCGAGCTGCCTCTCGCGGGTGAGAGGTGTGAGTACGCATCTCTATAGGCTCGTGGCGCCGTCCTTTCTGTGGGAGCTGGCTCCAAACCTGCAGCTGCGGCTACTCGACGCATCACCGCACGCTGGCGGCGCGAGTGCCTTGCCTCAGGGCGCGGCGGCAGCTTCCGGCGTCGGCATGTGCGCCAGCTGGCGCGGGCGGTGATTACCCGAGATGACCCGAGACGACCCGAGATTAGGCGTCGGCATGCGCCAGCTGGCGCGGCGGCTCCGGCTCGCGGAGGTGTGTGCGCACGATCTCGGCTATATCTCGGGCTGGCGAGGCACTC